TTAGCATGCACACTATTACAGCGTCTCTGATTTCTTTCCTTCCTTCAAAAGGCTTAGTCCTAGAAAAGCAGAAAGTATGTGCTTTTCCGTCTGGACTCTCACACGTTGGTTGACCACTGCCCCTAACCGAGCACCTGATACCACGTCTGTGGCGCAAAGTCCGCATTTGCGACTCACGCGGGTAGGGGAAACAAATTGTTCACAGTCCCCTGTCCGTCCCAGTACGCTTTCCAACGGTTGATTCCTCGTATTTATGAGATTTAAAATCAATACTACTCAACTTATTCAAGATTTATACAAACAACATAACAATTATGCAAAACACCAAGATTCAAACGGGATTGTGATAGGTGGAGCGAAATGAAAATTATGATAATCGATAACGAAAGTGACTAGTTAGCATAGAAATACAGCAAATTAAAGTAAGACAAACGAAAGAAGTTATAAGAGAAGTTGAATTGACCTTCACTGGGTCGTCTGTCATGATAACCAAATCAAATTCCACTAGGAATATTATTCTGTTCTTGGATTTATTCCAAGCATTTTTGGATAGATGAAAGGTAAAACGTCTCAAGAGCATTTCAGTGGCAGTGATAGGTATCGATTGGTAAGACAGTTGTGATACATCGGCTATTTATATGCATAAGAAACAGCCCGTAAACAAAGAGCACTCGGTTAAATTCTGAAGTGAAAAACGCGCTCAAGTGCGATTTTCGTGGAATACACAAGAGGCTCGCTCAGGGTATCAAATAGGTCCATAAAAACACGTATTCTATCGAGTAGAGTAAATTTTGGAAAGAATTCGAGTAAGTCCTCGTTGTTTCGCCACTTAATCCAGGCAGTGATGGTTCATTGGAATGCAGTGATGCAGTGTTTTATACGGCTTTCACCTCCTCTTTACCACCACCCATGGAATTCTGCGATGGAGAATGGCTGATGAGGGCCTGCTCGATGATGGCGCTCGGGATGCCGCCAACGCTCTTCGTCTTAAATATCTCGTTAAAGCTTTGTTTTAAGGCTGAAATTCAACCAATCAGACAAATCATAACCAAAGATGATCAACAATGGCCAAGTTTTTATTAAGCACTAACCGCGTTCTGGTCGGCAGCCGGTAGTGGAGTCCACTGAAGTCTACCTGCCCGATATTCGGCGACGAACTCGTCCAAAACTGCCTCCGACACATCCGGTCGATCGCATACGCATAGATGACCAGCTAGACCATCGACAATGCAGATCAATGGCAATTCAACATCACCAAGGCCGAGAATCGACTCGAGAATCTGAAATATTATGCCTTGAGATCTTTCCCCCGTCACAAGAAATAACTAAATTGTACGGAAAAAAGTGAACACCTACATGGTCACATATTGGATCCTCGCCTGTGTAGAGTAGCTGTAATGGATCCGCTTGCGGAGGAATCGGTAAATCCGAGCCAGTCGAGCTAAATTCATCCAATAATTCTAGCAGAGTCATATCCCGCTGCCTAAGGCGCACTAGGAACCCTTTGCAAGAAGACTTTATCATTACCGTGGACTATTCTTCATTCTCGCTTTCAATAATGCTAGGTATGTACAAGTATGAATCCATGCCCCGTTGCTCGGTTCGCGTCTATCATCACATGTCTTCTTTGTCGGAATTCCCCTCAACTTCGCAAAACGGTCGTTCCTGACAGAGCTCTTTCCATTCGTCCTCTCTCTGAAGACAACCGATGAATATAACAACCGTTTCCGAGAGCCCTAATCACAATGCACTGGTAGGAACAGAGAGAATTGTATATCATCGGCGGAGCCCTCTAGAATCAAGACATTAACACCGGCTATTCAAATAAAATGGAAAAGTAGAATTCAGAACACACCAGTGAAAGAGTATCAGCGATGGTTCATCTCTCAAGCGACAGACGGTATATTCATATAAGTTTCATAACAAGGACGAGAGTCCCCACTGGACGTAACGAACCAGCTGGATCCTTCTTAACAGGATGATCGACCCTGACTATTGTTTATCAACCGATCGCAGCACGAGTCAGAAGAATAGGGATGGAATAACCTGACATTGTGGATTGTATACGCATACAGCCAACCAGTGTGTGCGTGAATTTAGAAAAAAAAAACAAGCGTAGCAACCCGAAAAACATGGTTAAGAAAGCATTACGAAGAAGGAAAGTACAAATGCTCATCGCTTATGTTATATGACTCTTTGTTCAATGCTAAACGTTTAGATGGGTCATAAACAAATTGCGCGGCGCAGGCGCTTGAAATAGAAAGGGTTGGATTCGTCTGCGTCTAAAAATCAAGGACAATCTCGAGAAAAAACTTAAATCGCTACAAAAGAAATATAGCCACCAAATTCAATGTCTTACCTGGGTAGTGAATTGATCGAAAGCTTCTTGGGTCCTATCTGACGAACAAAAGACGATTTCCAATGAAGATGCCATTTGCTTTCATTTGTTCATAGACAGGTGCTAATTGTTTCACCCATTGACGGCAGGGAGGGCACTGAAACAATTAGTTTAAGAAGCTATAATTTAGCAACAGTTCTGTGCCAAGAGCATTTTCGACGTCTCACAAGCCAGATACAGTGCGAATGGGCCTCTATTAGCGTGAAAAAAGCGTCCGTTGCCGCAGACCTCCCTTTCGGTAAATCTACGCAAAAATGCCAGGGGAGTAGTTAGGGGGACTTAACTCTTGTTCATTAGAACCGAATTATGAAAGACAGTGCCCAAGTACAAGTACAAATTTAGGAACAATGCATGCTCTACTTTTTAAATCAAATGGCTGTAAAAAATTGAATTAGAAATAATTCCAACTCACCCATTGTGCGCCGAACAAAAGTCCACGAACAGTAGTTTTGATGGTTAGAGAAGTCTGTCGTTTCCACGATACCATTTACCCGGCGTAAAATGTTGCCTTTTAGTACTTCTAGCGCAGCTGGTGGCCACCTGGATTTGCCAACTGAGTACGTAAAAACACTTCAGTACAACTTTAAATTTTCAATATCCAAAACCTCCACCTCTATGTCTCTTCTGTATTTAAAAAGCAGTCAAAAGACCAAATGATAAATAACAAATATAACTTACAAAAAATGATCATTAGAAAGCAGTCAAGAACAAAAAACTGTACTTCTAACGAAAGATAAATATCAACAACTACTAGCTTTATTTTTAAGGAACCAACCATGGAAATGACGTTCCATTCACATCGTCTGCCAGTAATCGTCGTCCTTCTGTTGTCACAACACTTCTCGAAGCTGTATCGACAACTATCAATGATGGCGGAAACTCGAAACCTAACGCTCGCAGTAGTCGACTCTAAAAACGACCACGTAAGGAGGTAAATATTGTTAGATCTCTTCATTACGGGGATCAAATATATAAGAAAAAATAAAGAGTTAACGCGGAAGTAGACGACTCATCCGCTCAAGATATAGCCCATCACTAAGCATGCGCACAAAGATGATTAAGACAAGAGCCTAAAGGAGCTTCATGGGAGTTGAACGTGGGGGGAGGGGACACAGAGAGATATATCCTTTACAATTCAACCGCCGACACCCTCCCCCTCTCCAGTCCTGCCAAACAATCATCACATCCCATAAGGGACTCGTTGGATCAATTCAAAAGAGGAATTCAAAGTGTTTTGGGTAAGGCGAATACAATGGGACGCATTGTACAGAAGTCTCGATAGTTTATTATGCCTATACGGCCTTTGAGCTGTAGATAAAGCTCCTAGAACCTCGAGATTTTTCCAAGACTCACATAATCACCAGCTGACCTGTGAGATATAACTGAACATTCCATTCAGCTTCTACCCCTTTCTCCTCCGCCCCCCCCCTGCTCTCCCAATGGTTTGAGTGATTGTTAATTATTTGGAAATGCAATGATATAAATGGAAATGCAAGGGAGGCCTAAAGATTTGATCATTTGCCATATTAATCTTTCACCTTGTAGCTTAGCAACTGTGTTGCGCGTAAATCGTACCAGCCATTGGTTTGTGCAAGTGTGACGAGGCACCCTCTTCAGCGTTTCGAACGATAGTCGGTGTCGACAAGAACAACCGAAATTAGCGTCGTTTCACCGCCGCCGCCATTTCCATCCTTCTTTCTTCTTCTTTTTTCATGGTGAAAAAACGTCTTATCCGCGCCGGTGAGCTAAAATATTGGTTTCCTTTTTTCACTCTTAATCTCAGACTTTCTGATCTCAAATTCAATTCAGTTCCCTTGATAGTATCGGTACCAATAGAATCACAATGATTTCATATTTATTATTATCAGTTCCTATTATCAGATTAAATCCTTGTTTTGATTTTTTCACAAAGATTATCTTATCCATCCAGCTTTATTTTTTTGGCATTCCCTAAAACTCCTCCCAGCCTGCGACTCCAGTTCTCCCCCGATGGCCCATAGTTTGGCAAGAGGTATCTGGCAGTAGTGGCAGCTGCATTACTCCCTGTCCTACGCCCACTTCGCTACTACCTCCACCATAGCACTCGAATCATACTCCACAACACGAAACTTCGGTGGCGGTGTTACGGGACACACTGACGACGTTGTCATCACTGATCGCTTTGCGGGATCAGCGGACGGTGAATCCATCATCCGTCGGCGGCATACTTTGATCAGCTCGCCGCATGACGCCGTCGCTGTCGCTGTCGCTCATCATCCACTCCAACGAAAACACTCTACACTACTATCATCCATTTATTCCACAAACGCCAAACAAGGAATTCGATGTATTGGCGAGATACGCCAAAAAAAGGGCTAATTCGGAGATCGTAACGATTCGGTCCCTGGTGGGTCTACCAATATAACCATGGAACCGAAAGAAACCACAAGAATAAACAACCAGTAGAATAATGAAATGGTCTCCTGATCGGGAGTCGACAGACTACCAACCAGGGCCAGTTCTGGGAACCAGTCTCCATATTTCAATGCCTTCAGCTACAAGACAGAACGCTTGAAAACTCTGTTTAGGCTCATCTCCGATGATAAGTCCGAAAGCCCTGCTCTCACATTACCCCAAATAGCTTGGCAGAAAATTCCAAGAACCCGTGTAATTTTTTCGCGCTCCCAACGCAACGGAGAATGTACCACGGGTACGGCACGCTTTACTACAACGAACAATTTGCAACGGCCTCCTGAAGGCTACTTTCTGGTACAGCTCAGAAGAGCTCCTGACCTGGGCATCAGTCAGGCTCCGTAAATCACCGTGAATAAGTGGCTGGTTTCTCAAGATCTCCCATCATAATCTGGGTTGTTGGTGACGTTCACGGGAAATCTTTGAGCAGATAGATAGCAGCTTCCCCAATGGCACCATCGAACCAGGATTGTTGGATAAGTGTAGTGAAGGGGGTAGAGCGCTTGCCATTGTACAGTCGCTTGGAGATACCCTCAAATTTGGCCCCATCAACGATCGTAGAGACATTTTAAACATCTCTACGACCGCTGATGGAAGTCAAATATGATTTGTACCTCTAAGCGACTGCACAATGATTAGCACTTGATTCCAACCTTCACTACCCAACCAAAAATTCCAATCCGATGAATGATTTTGAGAAATCAGCCATTTATCTGCTCAGCGATTTCACATAAATCCTATACATTCCAATTTTTTTTTTCACCAAGTACACGTTGTGATAGGATACTGTAATGTAATCCGATCCAGCTACATCTGTTCAATTCGCATTTACCGCCGTTCCTTTGATCATAAGACAGTCGCCGCGTCACCTGTCGAGAATCATTCATTCGCGCCTTCAGAACAACACACCAATCTCTTTACAGTACCCTGAAGCCATTACGGGCTAGTGGGACCTCTGAGCGCGAGGGTTGGGATCGGCACTATTTCCCGGGTACTTCAACGTTTGGCCCTGCTAAACCTTTCCAGTTGATTCTTACGATTATCATCGGGATAGAAATATTTTTCCCACAACAGAATGAACAACTAGCTTATGTGGGAAGAGATACCCGATTTCTAATATAAGTGGTCCCGAAAAAATGCTAATTATAAATAGCCCTAGTGACTGGCTTCCGTGATCTACAGTTTTCGGTCCGAATTTGCGGACTCAGGTACCTAGTTCCGATTACCGTAACTGCATCTCTTCAATCTCGCCGAGTACCCAAATCTGGCGTATATAATGTACTTGACCTTAATGCTTACCACAACGCAACTGTTGCCCCAAAATAGACCGAAAGGAGTCGCAATAAGTTTGAACCCTGCCTAGAACCGGATGACTGGATGATCCGCGACCCTCTCACAGCTCAAAATCTCCAATGAAATAATCGCAAGACAGAAAAAACGCACGCTTTCAGTAACAGGGGTTCAGATCTGAGTCTATGCGCCTTCGGACCTTCGCTTGACTTCGCAGTAGTTTATACCATTTTTACTGGTAACCTAGTTCGAACGCTTTATGCCCTCCCTGAAAGTATTTCTAATGCCTGAGCCTTTCTACGCTAAACGTCTGAACACGATTTTCTCACGTCAACGCCAACACTCTTCCCCTTCTCTCGCAGCTGCAATCGCTTTATATCGCCACATTGATGAGAAGGTGACGACAGTGGTGGTGATCGGGGAACTCATCGGACTCCCTGCGGTGTGGTATAAAATCCCTCGAAACGACCACGGCAACCCTTTTATCCTTCCACATTTCCGGAAAACTCGTCTTTTAATAGCTATAGGTTTTAAGGCACTTAAAATTCACAGAGATGAATAATAATGGGATGCATTTACGAGCATACGGTAGCGAGATGGTTTCGCCATTTCCATATTATTATATATTTAGTTCCATACCATAAAATCAGCTGTTTTATACACTGGTGCGCAAAACTTAAGGACGAGACAGCTGAAGTATCATAACCTTTTGATAGCTTTGTGGACCGTTTAACGGTTCCTGTTAACTTTAGTGCCCTGTGACAGCTCTTGTATGTGTGGTTAGGTCCATAGAGTCATCCTACGCGCCAGTAAACGCTGGAAAAAGTGACATGTTCGTCCCTAAAGTCGGCCACTCTAGTGTAACATCACTTTAAATCGGGTTCAATGACGGTTCAAGAAAAGCTTTGTCCTGATTTGGTTGGATACGATATTTTCTATAGTTGAATCAAAGGCAGTAGGGTACTGGGAACGTCAGTTCCCTGGTCGTACTACTTCTTAGCGCATATGAGTCGCTGCTTATGTCTTATGAAGGCTAGTGGCGTTCGGTATTGCCCCTCACCTCTCCCTCCAAACCTCTTCGGATGGTTTCAATTAGAGACTATCATATCTCTTCTGTTATTATAACCCGCTTGACTGTGGGTCCAAACTGAACATGTGAAACGCTTGCTTGATTTGCTGACATTAGCACCAAGGGGTTTAGGCTGTCGATTAACGATCACTTTTGCCATAAAAAGAGCCAATGAAAGCATCATTTGTAATACTAAATACATGAAATAACGATTATTATGTGCTACTGTACTAGTTAAACACCCGAACACTAAACCTTTCTGGCACTTTTTGAGTGAATGACCAGATTTTGATTGAAAACGGAATAATGGTCTATCCCGTTGACCAGAATTTGGTGAGAGTAAATGCCGAACAGAAATCCCAGGAAGACAACCAAAAAGCTAAATGGGAAGCGGGTCGATAATTAGCGTTTCAAAATATTGCGAAGAAAAAAAAAGCTGTTCAATTCTAGACATTTTTGCGAGAGGGTGGGTGACTCATTACCATTAAGGACGGAAATCGAATGTATGGCGCATTCCAAAAAACAGAATCGATTACTCTTCAGTACTATCCCTTTCACCTACCGAACAAGCTCAGCTTGAATGAGAGCGAGCCAAACTCAATTAGGCACAATTTCCTAAAAGAAAAGAAAAACTCACTTTTGGGCCTTGTCCTTGTCGCCTTTCTCATTTTTCTTCCGAATCATATTATCGAGTTTCAAGCTCATATCAGCTCCTTTAGCACCAGCGGTGAGAAAGAACACCACATATTGGCTGCTATTCATCACATGGTCAAGCGTCACCAAATATGACGCATCGTCTTTGGTCTAAACATTACTTTAAAGACTAAATAAACAAAGTAGAATCAGACATAGAACAAAAATCGTACCGGTTTTCCCTGCGGGACCCTAACAAGCGATGCGTTTCGAAAACAACTCTCATAAAGCTCGTCAAATGACATCTGAAATGGCATGAGTTGACTGATTTCACATGTGTCTCAGCCTAGCGCCCAGTCGCAGCGGGCGATGAAAGAACGACAGATCGTAAACGACGCTGAGAATAAGTTCCGAAAAGAGTGGGAGGACAAAGACCTTTGATATGTCCTTCAAATCGATAAAGTAAAGTGGTTGATAGTCGAGCGATGAAAATACTCATTCATTCAATAATTAATGAAATGAAGATGGTCAACAAGGTGCCAAAGGTTGTTATCGGGTAACTGGTTTACAAGTCTTCCCTTAGGTGAACTTTGATCAGGATAAATCTTTTATGAAATACAACCTCGGAAAAGCTTCTACTTTTACTGAAAACTACATAAGAGTGAAGAAAACAGGAGCAGCGTGAAGCCTTTCCGGTTGAGTAATGAGCGCTTCCGCCTCGACCGCCCACAAAAGAACAACGAAGGAAGCTCCGAGTAGGACAAAGGGCAAAGTAACAATGGAATGACCAATACTACCCTTTTCTTTCCTCATACGTTGCACTAACCCCTCTCTCATAACTTCCTAGCACTTGTCCCAGTGCTCTCCCTCTTCACGTCCTCCCCAAGAAGTTCAGTCCCCAGTCAGGAAGTTCCCGTGGTTCTCCACTCATGGGAGGTTTTTCGAGGCGGGTTTCATATCGCGGGCGACAGCGTGCATAGACTAGTAAAACAGGTTCAGTTTTAGCCACGCGATTATAGGACTAATACTAAGAGCATTACAAGTACAATTTTAGCACCTTTTACCCATGGCACATTGAGTACCTATTGGTAAAAGGGAATGGAAAAAATCACTCAAAAAATTTAGACCGTTCATGCCTTTTTCTGCGCCAAAATTTACTATTTCAGCAGCTTAGGCTTGCCTTGAAATAAAATCCTCGCAAGTTCCCTCTAGCGAGGAGTAAAACCAAAGGTCGAGATGTCACTACAGGGAATTCATATGCTGTTCTGGAACCAGGAGATCGTATATAAGATTTGGTAGGTCCTATGTGAGGACAGGCGGGGAAATAGCGAAACACTCCGGTCTTACCAATCACATCATACCTCTCCGCCTCGACGACTTCCCCAACGGGATCCAGCTTGATTGAAGTTAAAGATTCTTCCTTGCTTACAAGGGAAAGGATGGTAGGTCGAAGTGGCCGTATAAAATGAGATGTATACCACCTGATGCGTCTCTAGACGCTGATTCCAAATCTGCCTTCCAAATCTGCTAAACGGACTCTCCGAACGGAGTTATGAAGCGTAATAGCTCAGTGGTGATGGTCCGGGTGGCAGGTAAAAGCTCGTAGGATCGGTTCCTTTGCAAATTTGTTGCTTTGCTTTTGTCCGCAACACTTCTAGAGACAAAAGCAAAGCAACCAAATTTGCAAAGGAACCGATCCTACGAGCTTTTACCTGCCACCCGGACCATCACCACTGAGCTATTACGCTTCATAACTCCGTTCGGAGAGTCGTTTAGCAGATTTGGAAGGCAGATTTGGAATCAGCGTCTGGAGACGCATCAGGAGGTATACATTTCATTTCGAACGGCCACTTCGACCTACCATCCTTCCCTTGTAAGCTTGAGGCAGGTAGAGTTTGAGCTGCGTTAAAGTAGGATCACGAAGTGGAACTAAAGTCAGAAGGGGTGGGGAGGGGGAGTCGTAACTGCCAGAATGTCCCAGAGGCGTGGCCCACCCCAGCCTATTCTTCGCGATGAGACAGCACATATCTCTAACGAGTTTTCCCAATACTATGACATTTCTCTATCAACTGTTCAATGGACTACTGGTGCACATACTCTTATTTCCATTTGAAATGAGAATTCGATAATCCACTGAACACGCAACAAACAAAAGACCTTTCTATTTTCCTCTAAAGGCAGCTGATTCTGGGATCAGAGAGTGGAAAACTCTAACAAATGAGAAAAAGGCCAAAACTCGAATCGCGAGAGAAGGAACAAATTATTCCACTCTTTTTTGTGCTGTGTCCCCGAAAAGATATGTAATGGCTGAAGGAAAAAGAGGATCACTACGTATCCTTATCCCTCACAATCAATTATTCCAACGCTGTTTTTCATGGGTAGGTTAGATAGAGGTTTCTACTGAAGGGTGAAATCAGTTCGCGTTTAAGACGGAGAAATTTATGGAGTCACATGACTGTTACGAAGAAGTTCGTGTCTTTGGTTTTTTTGACGATTTTTTTTTTTTGAAATCATTCGGCTTGAAAACGGGTGAACTCGGATTAATGCTGTCCATAAAGCAGCTCGGGCTCCTTTGGTCTTTCCTCTCTCCCCTTGTAAAAAGGAACTTATTACCGACTAATAATTACCCTTGGAGACCATTATTAGAGATGAATGAACTACACAGTAGCAAAGAAGTAACAATTATCATTAATTACTTCCAAATAATGAATGTTCGAATGGAAGCAGCAAAACTTGCTCTACATGCATTCCAATTTGTTCATTACTATACTAGTTTAGAGTGGTAAAATGGAAAGGAAAGAGAATGAAAATATGAAATTCATGAAGTTTAAAAGTAGAAAAACTTCTTTAAAAAGTTAACACTTTCCAATTCAAGAAGTTTGAAATTGCAAGAAATATGTTTCGAAAAGGCAAAAAATGCAGGACACTTTTGAAAATGAAGGGAAGGAGCGAGAAAATGAAATATGATAGATCTTTTGAAAAACAGGAAAAAAACGAACGAGTGCGTACGCGAAGAACGCCGACGAAAATGACGCCAATCGAAAAAAAAAACGATTTGTGGACTTTGGTGACTGAAAATCATTTCAGAAAGCTAAAATCAACAAGAAATGTTTGAAATTGAGAAGCGTGTACGTTGTCGAGAGCTTGTACAAATAGTATCATCATCATCCTCCCACATCGGGGTGATGAATGATGAGTGGGGGAGCCACACGGGGACCTATTGAAAACCCACCAGCATCCGCGATCGATAATGCGCTATGAGTGCGTGTGAGATGAACGCTCAACTGCCGTTAAGAGTGAATAAATCCACTGCAAAAACGAGACAACAAAAAACTCGAATAATGCCTGTAAAATGATTAAATAGCCGTTAGAAAACACATTAGCGTGGGATAAAATTGCCGCCGAACAATGTTTACCA